ATGGGCGACATATGTTATGTGCCTAGTGTGGACAGTACTATCTAACTTCGGAACTAACATCTCATTTTTTAAAAAATTTAAGTAAAAATTTTTGTTTTGGGGCGAGGAAAGAGTGTTATTCATGCAATTGAAGTTTACATTTTTTATAGAAAAAAAAATTCGTATTTTCAAAATTCATGCACAAATGAACTAATAAAAAATAAAATAAAAACTCAAATCAATCAAATCTTGGTCCCCACGATTTCATTTTTGCAAAAATAACTTAAATTTTAGTTTTCGTGAATAGGAATTGTTGTTTTAGCCGTGATTAGAACGCAAATCGTTTTTTTTGTGTATTTTGAACTTGCATTGTTCATAATTGAGTGCAAAGAAAATCTTAATGGCATGCAGTTGACTTGTCACAAGAACATGAAATCTTTTTAGTAATGATGATATGATTCGGCACATAGAATCTCCATTAAGAGCTATTTGTGTTTGTTTTTGCTTCTTTGATTGGCACGGAATTTGAAATTTATTTATTTATTTTTGTCCTCTCCTATATCCAAGTTATGATTGCATCGGCTGAAAAAATTTGACACAACTTGTTAACATAATTCAAACAAGACGTGAGTTAAGTAGGTTTGGATTAACTTTAAATGGTTTCGGATGATAAACGGGTCGATATGATTAACTCGTTTAATTAATTGTGTCGCATTTGGATTGAGAAGTTTAATCCGTTTAACTATACGTGTCATAAATAAATTTCTATTTAAATTTCAAAATAATTATCTAAACTTCTATCTTATAATTTAATTTTTCGTAAATTAGAGATTATTTATTAATTTGGTTAGATTGAAACTTATACATTTATAATATTTATTGTTTGATTGAGTATTATTAATAATTTAAATAATATAATATTTTATTTTATTAAATAGGTCATTTAAATCCTTTTAATAAACAAGTTGAGTTAGTATTGAGAATTTTTGACACGATTATTAAATGAATCGTGTTCGAATTAAACTATTTCGATACGATACGATTACGACCCGCGAACATAAATTGTTACACCCGACTAATATAATAACTTAAATCTTATAACTTTTTGAGTTCTTAATATTAGGTTTTATTTTTCTTATTTTTCAGAGATAAAGTAGTCTAAGCAAATATTAAAAGTTCGGTACAATCCCTTTAATGTAGTTTAATCAACACGTTCAAAACTTGGGTAGAGTACATGTGATGTTCATGGACATATTTTTCATACTTAAAAACATAACAGCTACTTAAACTTGGGTATGTACATTCAACGCATATTTTAGATCATGAACATATGGTGTGTGGTGTACCATTTCGACTTTGAAATTTTAAAAATAAAAAATAGTCCAGATAATACTTATGAACTCTATTAGATAATGTTTTTTTAAAAAAAAAAAAAATTTAATTTGAATTGTTTAAAATTTTGTCCCGACTAGTCTCTAGTGATTCAAAAAGGCGTCTCTCCAATTTAAATCGGGACTTCAAATTGGGTTACTCATGGAGTAAGAAAGCTTTACACGCTCTACACGTGGGATTCCTATTAGGCTATGTTGATCCAATGCATTACTACTCAAGAAAACCACATTCTAGGTTTACTCCCTCATTTCCTCGAACTTACATATGACAATCATTAATGACGAAGTTGACATTTAATGTATGGTCTATATTTTTCCATGGAAATAGATTCTAATTTTGTTTTTCTTTTCAAATTTAGCATGGGGTTTGAATCTTGACCACTCTGAATTCTGACTCTTACTCCATAAGTATCCAAAGTCCTCACTTTACCAACCTAGAATTTTCACCTAGAATTTTCGGAGTTTTTGTTTTGTAAATATTAGGTATTCATTATTTTAGGCTTCCAAGATAATATTCCATACATGCTTTGGAATATTTTGAATATTATGGAAGACTGAAATATTCCATAATATTATAATGATATTGAATTAAATTAAAAAATAATCATTTTATTCAAAATAATCATTTTATTCAAAATAATCTCAAAAATTAAAATTTATCTCTAATATTCACTAACTACGATGAATTAAATCCAATCAAATCAGATAAAAATTATTGATTAACACACATTTCTATATCAAATAACTTCGTATGTTATAAAAAATATTATTTTAATTATCATAATTTCATTGACGATTGCAATTCATAAGCGAGGACATTGAATCAAGTCGGAAAGTAATTACTTTGTCCAAGATAATATTCGTCTCTAAAATTCACTATTTTCTTGACGTAAAGCACAATACAACAACGTTGAATTTTATCATATAAATATTTATATCATGTGAAAAACGTTATTTTTACTTTTCATTTCCCGTTCTAAACCAACCATCTTATTTGCAAATTGCAATCATAAATTGTGGAAGTCGACATATAAATACGTGGTTTGAATTGTCCATTGACTTGTCCAAAAATTCTTGGAACCATGTGTGTGTAATGTAATGTGTGTAGACCTGATATTTAACATGGTCGACCTAAGAGACCCCGTCAATCACGGCACCAAATGGTGGGACCACTTTATTAATAATATTGTGTCTCTATATCTGTATCTGTATTTATAGGTTTATGTCCCGTCCACAAATTATTTGGTCAACCAAGACATCTCTTTGAATGCTTTTTCTGAAATAATATCGTTCGTTGAATTGGGTTTCATATTATCAGTAAAAAAAAAAAAAACACGCACACTTTTTGGTTTTTAAGCATGTCTATCCTTTAGATTTTCTACTTCAAAATTTTTACAATATTATAGAAGTTGGGTTAAAAAGCCCACATTCCAGTTATAAAGCAAGGGTAAAAGCATAAACTTTGGAAAAAGTGAATTTTTTAATATTTTGTGCAATGGGTAAACATATCATACTTGATCGTATCATCCGATACGCGATATGTTTTCAAATTTAATATACAATTCATATCGATCAGTTTATATTGATTTTGTCCAAGTCCGTTACATTGCGACCGTGACCAATACTACGAACTATGATAGATATGTAAATTGACTATATGTTTGTAGTAATCATGCTTGCCCAAGTTCGTATCATATCATATCAAGTTCGTATCGTATCGTATCTTATTCGATTCGAAAATCAACCCTAATTGACGAATTATATGATTCATCATTCTATTTAGAATCGTAAGTTACAATCAAATCATAAGATAGCGTTACTATATTAAAAAATTGACACCTCTATGTGACCGACACTAATTTTAGGCAGCGGACTAGATGATGTCATTATTATTATTATTATTATTATTATTATTATTATTTTGAAAGAGAATCCTTTTTGCAGCCTCTATAGTGTATTTGTTAAGGTCAAGAAATCAGAGTTGGTAGTTTGGCATTTAAAGGAGAAATTTTTTAAGAGTTGTTAAGGTCACCTTGACTCCATGGGATATCACGGTTCGCCTAGACAACACTATATCCTTTTTCAAGTCCGATAGCAATTTGTATCGATCAGTTTATACTGACTTTGTCCAAATTTGTTACACCACAATCGTGACTAATATTGCGAACCAAAATGGATATGTAAATTGGCTATACGTTTGTAGTAATTATAACCCTTTTTCAAGTTCGATACGCGATCCGTATTAGTCAGTTTACACTGATTTTGTCTGAATTTATTATCGCGACCATGACCGATACTGTAAACCATGATAGATATGTAAATTGGATATATGTTGGTTAGCTATATGTTGGTAGTAATCATGCTTACCTAAGTTCGTATCATATCAGATTTTATCTGATCCAGGTTTCAACCTTAACTGACGAATTATATGATTCATCATTTTATTTAGAATCGTAAGTTTCAATCAAATCATAATATAGCATTACTATATTAAAAAATTGACACCTCTCCGTGACCGACACTAATTTTAGGCGACAAAATAGATGATCGTCATATGTTTTAGGTGGGTTTTTTTTTTTTTTTTTTTTGGTCCTTCTGGAAGAGTATCCTTTTCGCAGCCTATATATAGTGTATTTGTTAAGGTCAAAAAATAAGAGTTGGTAGTTTGGCATTCAAAGTACATGTTTTTTTTTTTTTATTTTTTTTTTGTCACGACCAATATGAATATAAATTTTAATGAAAATATAAATTCATGACATCAAATTGAAATCCCTAATGGTTCCAAAAAAAAAAAATTGTTGAGCTGAGTTTTATTGACGTGGTGCCGTGTGACCATTATATGAGTTAGTATTTTTTATATGTCAAATAAACTAGAATGAGAATATAAAAATAGGTGTCAAACTGTTGCTGATGTCTCGATAGTTCAGTGGTTAGTGCTTCCGTTGGATTTTGGGAGTGCCATGCTTCGATTTTTTGCACCTATTAATCTAACTTCTAACCCTTCTTGCCTTGTAAAAATAAAATAAAAAAATAAAAAAAAAAATTGTCACCTTGACTCCCTGTGATGACTGAAAATTTTCAAAAGAATCCTACATACGGCCCAAAATTTTAACGGGCCAAATTAGGCCCTATCAAAACCTATATGTTATAAAGACCTAAAACTATATTTAAAAAAAAAAAAAAAAACTTACGCACAGCTAAAAATTCTAAACAGGCCTAACTAGGCCCCTATCAGAACCTATGAGTAGATGTTATAAAGACCCAAAAAATTTAAGCCAGTCTGCATTTAATAAGTTGGGTTTACTCGAGCAACCGGGCCCAAATAATGATTTTTGGATCCAGCCCAAAATTTTGCCCTTTTTAATGTGAAACACACAATAAATTAGCCAATTAACTTCCGAAAAAAGAAAAAGAAACAAAACCCAATTGTTATATTTATTTTGTGTACACTGTATATATTTATCCTTCATTTGGTAGGAAGGAAGGATTAGGAAAGAGAGGAGGAATGGAACAATTTTATAGCAAGGGAAGGATGGAGGAATGAGACATCCTTTTATGTCTCACCATTTTATTTTCGATCAAAATTGAAATGAAAAATACAGAAAAATAAAGGACTTCAAAAGGCTAGCTGTTACAAGGGTGGTTATCCCATATTGCAGCACTATCCAATTGCAATTGGTATCAGAGTTAATTTCTGATGTCATGTCAAGCGCCGGCCGAAAGGCAGAAAGACATTCGGATGTGCCATCCGGATAGGTAGGGTGGCTCAACTGCAACGCCGAATAGGTAGGGTGGCTCAACTGCAACGGAAATGTTACGAATTCGGATAAAAAAGAATATTACAAAAAGTACTTGTCTCACATTGAATCTAAATGAAAAGTGAAAGGTATAAATGAGTGAATGTACAGTCCATAACCTTCGTGGACCTTTAGAATAGAAATACTAAATAAAGTTTCTATTTATTTATTTTGACATTCTACGGAGCCTTTTCAGATGGAGCTGATGTTTGTTTGTACATATAAAATACTAGCATATGTACACACCTTTTTATAATTCTACTTTAAAAAAAATGAAATTATTATTATCCCCCAACTATAAATATCAAGTATTAGAAACAATTTTTTTTTTTTTTTTTTTTTTTGGAAAAGACAAAAAAGTAAGTGCATAAAAAAAAATAAAAAATAAAAAACGAGTGCAAAAATCTTCTTCCTTGTCCAAATCTTGATATGAAGAGAGACAAAATGTTAAAAGATATCAAGAATCTCGTTAATGGAACGGTTACAGAGAGGACAGGACCCACGGTTCAACAACAGCTCTCTCGAACAAACCCTACAGAAGGTGTGCCCGCAGGGGATAAAAGCCGCACCTTTATTCCTCTCAATGCACACGCAGCACAGCGCATCAATCCCACCTTCTTTGTTCCCCTCCTCCCCATCCACACCGTCCGTTTCATCGAACAATCTCATCAGCGACCTCAACGGCGTCACTGTGGGACCCACAGACCGCTGATTGCGCTCCTCCGCCAACGCCGTCGCCAGGTTTATCCCAGGATACGCCGGTATCTGACCCACAGAAGGCGGAGCCGAGCTGAGCACCGCCGGAATCTGACCCACACCACCACCACCACCACCACCCATGATCGGTTCTTGTTCTTGTTGTTCTGGGTCAAGACCATCTTCGCTTGGGTTCATATTGGAAACACTGAGACTCCATAATGACCCACATAGCCCAATCCCCTTAAATGCCAGCCGTTGTTTCAAATCCTTCCATGGTCTTCTTCTACCCACCCCTTCCATCTTTCTCTCCTCTTCTTCTCTCTCTGAGAATCCCAACTAAGCTCTCTCTCTCTCTCTATCTCTCTCTCTCTCTCTCGAACTGCTTTTGAAGGTCGGAAACACACAGTTTTTGTTTCTTACTACTACTAGTTTATAGCTTCTCAATTGTATGGTGCTTATATATGCTCTCCTAAAAAAGTGCACACTATTTTATTTCTTATTTTTGTTAATTTCTTTAGCTGTTTTTCTACTATCCTAATTTTTACTATTCTGTTCCAAGATAAGTGTTACATTTTAGTAATTTACATTTTTAATAATTTTTTATTATACTAGTAATAAATGAATTACCAAATTTACAAGGTCTTACTTTATGTATGATAGGTTAAATTAGTAATATTATAAAACCTTATTTATTAGGATATTTATTTTAGAATGGATAAAAATGGAAAGATATACACTTATTTTAGAAAGGAATAAGTAATATTTTGGTGCTTTTCAATATTTTACATTGGCGTGACTCTCGCAGACTTTGTGTGCAGACTCTCATATCATTTTGTTACAACTTTTAGGTCCAATGTTCTTGTTGGCCTAATCTTCATGCACTTGTATTTTCGGGTGAATTTAAAGGTGCACAAAGAACTGATGCAACTAGACAACCGATGCTTCGATTTTGATTTCTAACTAATAAAGATTAAAAAGAGAGGTAAATGTATCTTTATTTTTTGTCCCTTCGAAATTTGAGATTCTCTTTTTAAACATGTAATTGTAACATAGAAATAAATTAAGAATTAAAATCATGAATTTAATGTCAAGAGTGAGTTAATTTAGGTGATTTAAAAGTTTTGAAATTTTAGCCGCTAAATCATGGAAGCTTTAATTATGGTAGCATTTTGGTACAAATCTTTAGAAATGATTAGATACAGCTTGCAATAATGATTTTAATACCGCGTAGTCGTGGACTTTGGATCCTACTTCTCACGGATTTGTCATAATAGTCACAGAATTGGCCCACCCATAAAGCTCTCTCAATTACTACAGCAATCTAAATAAAGTGGATATTATAATCATTCTCATAACATGCTCAGTCCCAAATTTCTTTTGCTCCAGCTTTCATGTAAAATAATTGAACCTTCGTCCTAGGCAAACCGCATTTGAATCCAACACTAGAAACTTCTAGTAATTATTAGTGGGGAAGAACTGGAAATTTTGATTTTTGAGGTGAATAAAAATAAATTTTATCTTTTTTTACACTCCCAAGATTATGTTCAAGATTTTCAAAATATACTTACAAAATATTTATTTTCAAAGTTAGTGTAGTGTGACCCTCGCTTTATACGTGTCATAACACATCCAACTGTGTAAAATTTACCTGTTTTGCACACTTTCAGACTTTCGGCTTGTACAGTTTTCAAAACGCAGCTAGACATAGGAAGCTTCCACACCAACAACCTCTTCCCCGGACGATGTATCTTTTCATATATTTCATGTAGAATAAGTCCCAAACAAAAAATAACGAGTAACATACACAATTTTCCTGTGTTTAGAGATTCCAGATTATAAACATTTCAGTGGTTTTTGACTTACTGAAACCCAATTCACCCTACTGGTCTATTTGATTCTCCATACTGATAACTTGCAATTGAAATTGAAACCAGTAAAATCATTGTCTAGAACATCTCTGGTCTTTATAATAATATTTTTCATCCTGGTTGATAGAGAAACTTTGAGACGATTTTGCCTACAACAAAGTTATATGCTACAAAACAACAAAGTCATAAAATAGACACAGCAAGCTATAAAGCACTAATCAAAATTCAATATAATATAAGAGTGTGTTAGGTTACAGTGTAGTTGCAGGCTCCACCTGCAGTCCTAAATAATTTCCAGTATCCATATGTCACAACGAGCTAGAAAACAATCTCTTCGTGCGAAGACGTTGCTTCACATTTATCTCTCTTCCCGGGGAAAAAAAAAAAGCACAGGGAGTATTGGAAGTAAGAGCCAGCCGTCCAACCACCTAGTAATGATTAAAGCTCACAAACCTAGGCATTGAGCTTGATGTATTTCTCTTCAAAATCCTATTGTATATCAATACTGTAGGTGTTGTATGAAGCAAAAAACTTTCAACAATTAAGGAGTGAGTTCCTTAATCAATTTATGGTGATTGTCGTGTCAGAACACTTTATTACCTGAAGTCTTGGAATGACAGATGACACTCTTGTCTCCAAGTTCTGAGTCTTCGATATTAACTGAAAATAAGGACACAACACACCATGACACGCGGTTAGGAAAAGATGATACAAGCCAAGCCAAGAGGACAAAGATTTACAAAACTGCAATCAAAGAAACCAATTCCTATTACACAAAGTAAAAGTTGTCCCTTGACTTGGTCATCGGCTTTTCTAATGAAAGCAATTTTACATTTCCAATAATTCTGGTTAATTATATTGTAGCTCAATTTATTAAAAGAAGAAACCAGGATGAATCACCACCAATGGCATAATGCAATGGAAATGCAAAAATTGAAGACAGGAAGGAAAAGTCTTACAATGTATCAAATTTTCAAGAATAAGCATGTGCAGGTTATGGTGCGTCTCCTTTCTGAAAACAGATGACGAGGAATATGAGTAACTTACATAAATTTTAGGATAGGAACAAGAAAGTGCAGGACAATCTAAGTTGCAACAACACAGTAAAAAAAAGAAAGTTAACAACGTTAGAATAACAGGATATAGCTGAACATCAAATAAATACTAATGTTCATATCATTAGTTACTAGTTAGTTGAGAAATATAAACTAATTTCCCAATACAATGCAAAAGGAAATTGTGAGTATGCAACAAGAGTCAAAACCTCCAACAACAGGAAACAGAAATCGGATTCCTGATGAAATGAAGTACCAAACTAATACACATTTGGGTTAATAAACATTTGGGTTAGTACACATGCATCTTCAACAATTACTTACAGTTAGATGTGATGCTTACATAGAGGTTTGCATTGTTGAAAGAGTAGTCTCTGCCTTGCTAACCTGAAAGGTAAAAAACATAATTTTACGATTTCATCCATAACATTAATAGGTGAAAAGACTTTGTGAGTTGTGACTGGTCATGGCAAGCATAATATATAAATAAAATAATAATAATAATTAAAAAATGAGAGGAAATTTTAAACTTGGACAACCAACTAGGGTAAGGATGTCGATCAGGTGAGTTATAAAACCAGCAATAAGATCCAATCAAGCCATGACACTCTAGTATATATGCACTTCATAATGCTCTTGTATTGCTTTCAAGATTCACTAAAATGAACAGTAAAATATTATTTCAAATCTTCACGCCATTCTTGTGTTTGACACGTTCGATCATACAATATGCCTCCAGCACTCGCCTATTTAACAAATCACGTTTTATTTCGATTAGCTATATCTCTTGATACTCTGGATTCTAGCCCATCATGTTTTAATTCTATGAGCCATATCTATTGACCCTCTGGATTCTATATGTTCTCTCTCTACCTCTTATTTAACACTTCTCGTGAAGAAATAGATATCATGAAACAATATTCTGTACGTATAGTGCGCTAGAACCTCATCCATGATGTGTTTTGTAAATTTGCCAATAGTTGAAAATTAATTATTTTTCCCAACATGCACTCAAAGGGAGAGAAAATATTCCTCCTCCTTTGACGTTTTCTCACATGCATTACAATTGACAAACCATTACTTCCTATCGACCACAAACTTGAAAGTATTCAGTGAAATTCTAAGCATTCAAAAGGCAGGAGAATCTCCTTTGAAAACTCACATTGATGTATTAAAACTCATCATCTTTATACAAGAATAAATTAAGCAAAAGCAATTGAGAAATTGGACATACCCCATGCTCTATTTATTATAGCCTACTTCTAACATCAAATGGCGATAGCTACGGCCTCGTATAACTTTCTGCCACATAAACTGGAGTGACCTCTGAAAGCCCATTTGCATCTGCTCCTGGACAAGCCTGCAGCACATCAGTAAATAAGTGTGCGGCACTTCAATGCTGATTTTGAAGTAATTTCATACATGTAAAGGTACCTTACCATCTCACAAGACATCTCTGAATACCCCGAGATATGGGGCGAATAAAGGATGGATCCCGTTGGGCATAGAGCAAACCGACCTGGAAAGGATTGTAAATGAAAAAGGCATGGTTAACATTTGCTTACTCCAACCCATTTGGAGATCTTTGGATTTAAAATAAATTCTGAAATTGAAATGGATTAAATTAGTGTGACAGAGAACTTGAATGTAACATTGCCAAAATTTAGCCAAACAATTGCCAATTGACAGTGATTTGAAAACTAAAAATTATGAGTGTGTGTGCAAGGTATTTATGGAAGTCCGTGACAGAAAAAACACAACATGGAATTTAAAATGGAAACTGCCTCCCTAAGTCAAAATAAATAAATAAATAAATTTGAAAAATACCTCTAACAATGCAACAGCAGAAGGATCATCCAGGTACTCAAGGCTACAATCAGCTAGATAATTAACCTGAATCAAGATAAGTTGGGAAAAAATCACAAATTGGTACAGAAAACTGATTCACCCTAAAGAAAATCATGTTACATAGGCTTCTCTAAATATCACCTGTGTTGTACGCATGACGGTTATGGATATGGGATGCGTACAACATATTTAGTTGGACCTGTATCGATAAACATATCTGGTAATTCAACCTTACTTTACAGCTATTCTACTGTCCATTTTATTACGTTATTAATAAAAAAAATTGCTCCATGTTGAATGCTATTTTATGTTACATGAAAACGCCATTTTACCTTTGGAAAAAAACAAATATATTAAAAAATTATGAATAGTTAGTCGTGCGTTAAGTTTGAAGATTTGATAAGTTCAATACCTAGACACGTTCCATAGACCCGATACACATATCCAAGTCCATGTAACATAGAACAATATAACATTAGGCATACTGCAGCAACATGTCCATATGAGATGATGCATCCTTCAATTCCAAGATTGAGTCCTATTAATTACAAAAAGGGTAAAGAGCAATAAACCCCCCTCAACTATTGGTGTTTTGCAAATAACCACCTTGAACTACAAAAAACCCCCCTTGCACTATTGATATGTTGCATTTAAGGACATTCCTGTCACCGACTGTTACCGAAAATGTTAATAGACAATTTTACCCATCATCAAAACTACGTCGTTTTGAAAACTATTCACTTAAGTGAATGAAACTAATCGGGTCGATTTGAATTAGGCTCGCCAAATCGGGTGGGTGTTTTGTTGAATTTTATTGGGTTGGTTTGAATAAAGGTTAGTTTAGTCAAATTATAACCAGGTCTTGCGTCAAAACCTCCCATGGAAAAACCCAGCAGTGGCATCCCCATCGACGGCACAATTCCACAATTAAACCAGCAGCACCACAGACTCCATAGTGGGCGGCGCCGTCACCACCACCACCATCTTCTCCCCCCCTAACCCGGCGGCACCATCACCACCATCCTACTCCTACACTGGCGGCATCACAGTCGACGCCACCAACACTAATTCCATCCCCACACCACACCGGCGGCACCATAACCACAGTTCCCACACCTACACCGGCAGCAGCGCCATCACCAACACCATCCTAACCCTAACAGGTTCAGGCTCCACCGTATAATCGTGATTTGACGATTCTACCAGCGAAGGAGAATGACAGTGACCGATCGGCAGCAACGGAAAATCATATTCACTGCGGCGTCAGGTCACGGCGGTGGCGAGGTTGCAGCAATGGCACAGAGAGAGAGGAGTCGCGGCTTAGAGAGAGGGAGACAGTGCGATAGAGAGAGAGGGAGATACTACGATAGAGAGAGAAACAAAATGTGGGTTAGGGTTTATTTTTCCTAAAATTACATTAAATGTGGATATATATACATATATATAGTAAATAGAAGGATATTAGAGTCTTTTAACTTTCATAAGGGTATTTTCGCCATTTAATTAAAATTAGCCCATCACATGAGAGTCAGCTGGTCGGAAGCTTGCCTGAAGGGGTAAATTGCAACTGAAATGGTTAGTTCAGGGGGTTTTATGCAACTTTTGTAGATCAAGGGTTTTTTTTTTTTTTTTTTTTCCTAATTAGGTAATAGTTCAAGGGGTTTTTTGCACTTTACCCTTACAAAAATAATATGAAGAGCTAATCATCCTTAAACGGGACCACAGATACACACCCAGAAGCAATTGTGTGTATAAGATTGCTTCTGACATAAGTTTTAGTTAAAAACTAAATGGCAGCTAATAATTTAGGTTTCTAACCTTCGCAAATGAGAATTTAGGTTCCCAACCCTAAGATTGTTGAAATATGGTATTGGCAATCATAGTAGAAAGATACATCTTTAATGTGAACAATAAAATGATAATTTAGAATATGAATTCTTAGATTTATTCCTTTTTATAGCCTTGTCAGAGACTAACAATACTAGAGGTACCAAAAGTTATGCACGCAGGTCAAGTAGTAGTGAGTATAAAATATCATATATAAAGCAACAACGACAACGACAACAACAAAAAAAAAAAATCCACCAATATAATATATTGAATGGCAATCACATTATTGAATGAGAATATTCAATATATTCTTCAAATATTATGGCTAGCATATTGTTGCACAAGATCTTTTTCCACTGAAAGCAATCAAAAAAAATATGTTGAAAAGAAACTTACCCCAAATTCTGTTTTGACTAGAGAGTGAACAAAATCCATTAATTGAAGCTTAGCCCACTCTATGCGTTGGGCATGGTTTTCTTTCGATGGAGGATGCCTCCAGGGAGCACCAAAACGTAACCTATCTTTTGAAATTTTTCCGCTTCGTGCATCAATAGCAAATTTTTGCAGAAGTGACAATGCTTTATCCATGGCAGGATTAACTACAGTCACCTATAATAAAGTAGTCAGAACAACAAGAGGACAGACACAGTTCAGAAACAATCGTGACTAACCCAAGCAACACAGGTGCAGGAAAAAACTACCTGTTAGTTTCTAAAGCAGTATGCAAATGTCAACTACAAAGTGCTCAACCTCAGGTTTATTTGGTTTTGATCAAAAGACATGGTGGTCTGGTTCTAGATTAGAAAAATGGGAGCTCGCCTAGAGTCGGTCAGCCAAATTGCCCAACCATATAAAAATAATTTAATAGAATTAATATAACCTCAAGTGTTAAATGTTGTAAAAGCGCACACTTTTTTTTTTCCTTAATTTGGTGGTGGGGGCAAACAAGGAAATTGTGCCAGCATAGCAGGAGTAAGTTTCCCCAGAAGATCATCCTAGCAAATGCCAAGAGACAGGATGAGAAATCGTCATGTTTCTATTACATGGCATGTCTCCTCTAATGTTTAATCTTTGATGTCATTTTCAATTACTTTGGTCGGTCTCGCTGCCTCTTATCTTCTGTACAAAATAATCTTCCTTTTCTCACTGCTCAGCTGCGAGCCTACTTTGCATGAATCCTTACTACCTAAACATGCATTCTCTTATTTTATCACTAATAGGTACTATTCCTAATATGCCGTTCACACTTTGATTAGTAAACCTATCTCTTCTAGTGACTCCTACTATACATATCAACACTCTCATTTCAGTTACTTGAATGCATTGTTTTTCTTTCTTTCTTAGAGCCATCGCTATGTTCTATATAAGATAGTTGGCCAATTGACCATCCTATAAAAATTTTCGTTTAATTTATTTTCTATTCTTTAATCACATTGGATACAACTAGTCTGTCTCCATATTATCCATCCAATTGCAATCCTGCTAGTGTGCAAGTGGATATGCATTAAGTGGTTATCTGACCTCTTTCTCTTTGTAAGACATTGCAATAATAAATAAGATGCAAGCTTGCTGCATATTACGAAACTTACCTGCAAATATGCTAAATAAGCATCTACAATATCCTCAAATGTACTGCCCCTGTCATCCATGACCCTACAATTAAACCAAGAAAGAGAACAGGGTAAGCGAACTGTAGAATATGTAAGAAAAGCTTTATATGAATACAAAACAGCTCAACTGTTAAAATGAAGCACAAAAGTCCATAAGGTATCTCCCAAAGAGTTCTCATACTACTATAAGCAGTATTCACTAAATAAACGGCAAGTAACAATTTCCCTAATAAAGGGAGACAATAGGTACCCTGCACGATATCATTTGGCAGTTGGAAAATCATCAGGGTGCAATGCTTAACAGTTGTATATGAAGTAAAAATGTTTTATACTCTTCAAGTGTTAATATTATTAGAGAGATCAATTACAACGAAAAGAGAAAAATAAAATAACAAGAAACAAATCAAAGGTTATACAGAAAAGGGTGGAAAAAGAAGTCATCAAGCTTTGAATTCTGACTTCTAAATTCTACTTGTTTTTTAGACTGTTCCGTGTACAACGACCAATTCTGACACTAGGTTGGCTGGATCCCGCCCCAGGATCACCCTAACATACATTGAGTAAACAAAAAGTATCACAATAAATTTTCAAATAGAATACGATTAAGCACAACTCGGTTAAGAAAATTTAGTAAGAACACAGCTAATTAAGTTGAGAAAAATACAATTCTAACGTAATCAAATATTGAGAGAGAGAGAGAGAGAGAGAGAGAGAGTTATCCATCCAATTATCCCAATCTCATTCTGTCACACTATCATAATGGCACAAACTAGACTAGTATATTGTAGTTTGATGGAAATAATTCACATTTCTTCAACAAAGGTCACTAACCAATCATTCGTTGAGAATGATGCTCAGGCTCTCAGCCACAGAAAGAAATGAAAGCCTTTAATATAACAAATCCAGCAATGAAACAAAGATGAGATAAACAGCGAAGAAAAAAGGAAAAAGAAATTGCTTAGACTAAAAAGATCAACTGAAATACATCGTAAAAGCTACACATGATCAAAATGTCTCAGTTCAATTAGATAAACTATTGTACAATTATTTAATAAGAATATATTGCAGTATTGTAGTCAATCCATGAAACTTCATATAATTGCCAATTAGCCAAATAAAAAAGTCAGTGCATTTGTTAAATCCTATCATTATATCAAAAGATGAGACATCAAAAGTTAGTATCTAAGTACTTACTTCTGGAAATAGTTGCTTTGTTTTAGCGCATAAAGCTCAAAAAGATGTCGTGGGTTTGGCCCTAGCACCTCGGCAATCACATTCCACTACAATTCCAACAAACATACGGAATTATTTGCCAAAACAATATTTTTCCTGTAAATGTGGATGATTCATTAAAAGCAAAGCTATTAGGAAAGACATGCCCTTGATCATCAATATCAGCTCACCTCGGAGTGACTGAAATAATCAGTAACCATATGCATTTTTGCTTCTTGTTGAGTCCATCCAAAGGTCTGGAAATTGTCAAGAATGAGATACACAAGCATCAGCAATATATTATGCATATCCTATCAAATGAACAAACCCAGTTGACTAATGAACACATGCATCCCCAATGGGACAATTGGGTGCGTGTGTGTAATTTATCCCCCACACACCAAAAACAAAAACAAAACAAAAAAGAAAAATATGCACATTTGCACACACAACCATAGGTGCACCCCACAATCAGTTCAAACTGAAACATGCGGGGGACTATTGCTTTGTGCAATAAAAAGTCAAGTTCAAAAGCATGAGGATGCAGGTAAGAGTCTGAGAGCAACCACTTTGTGTAAAATAATACCAAAGGTTAGGTTTATTTAAATCTTCTTCCAACGTATAGTGTTGGCAGGACCACCACCACCTAATCGCCTTTTTCTCAAACATGTGAACCCACACACATGTGGAAACCTGGTATAGTACATCCGTTCAAACAATAGAAGCCTGTCAAGTGAAATACATGTACACAAAGAGATGCATGTAAATCCCTGAGAGGGTCTACACAATTGTCAACAAGACTAGGCAAGAAAATTATACCCTTATACATGCCATTAAAGAAGTATAGTTGAATGCCTACGTTCACCAATCACCACTTGGTACATTTTCCAAAATGGCTCTACAAACTTCTAGAACAGAGAAGGCAGACAAGAAACAAGCCATACACATAGAATCACATAATTTCAGCATGAGTACCTCACGAGAGATGAATATGTCTGGAAATCCAAAATCCAGATAAGCTCGGTATGAATAGTAGCTGCAGAATATTAGTATCGTTTAGATTTCCTAATTTAATTTAAAGAAACAGACCTAAAAAATGTATTTCTTAATATGGTAGAACATAAATAATGAAAATATAGGTAGTGCACTTAACTACGCAATAAATGAGTAATTCAATTAATTATTCATGTTATGATCATGAAGTTTCACAAAGATGGCATACAGGATGCTCTTATCATGCAATGGGCTTATGTTGGAGAATAAAATGACTACTATCAAATATATAAAAGGTCAGGTTTTAAGGAAAAAGGTTTGTGGCAGTAACTACTATCAAGACCAAGAAACGGGAACACTACTGAGCGTGAAAATTACCTATCCGATGTCAAAAGAATGACAGGCAAACACTTCTCATTCGCACCCAAAGCAATTATTCTCCATATCAGACTGTCATGATACAGAGATGCACGGACTGTTGAATCATCTGTTAAAACAGCATTCTTGAGAACATCTATATTGTTTATCACCAGCTTTGGCTGCACATTATGGCATCAAAATATTAATCATTTAGAGCACCACAACACATCAACATACATTAAAATCACATAAATGAAGTAATCAAGATATAGTATATTAATATCCCATTATAACATACATTATTAAAAACAAACACACACAAACACATTCTTAAACCAAATAAAGCTTCTGGATTGAGTGCCACACCTAATATCCATCCCAGTTAAGACTACATTAGTGAATAGTACTCTTATATCAATAGTTTGCCAGGAATTTGCTAGCTAAGAAAAAAATTAAATGATTAGTTACCTGAAAGTAATCAGTCTCAGCAGCTGCTGACAACAATTCCAACAACAAACAGGGCCAATCAGTAGCTGAATTCGCCAAAGGCCTCGAAAACCCACCCGTCTGATTCAAATGCTTCACAGCATTAGCTCTCCAGCCTTGCTGAATCGTTATCACCTCCTTAGCCAACTCTAACGCCACGATTGCTTCCCTATAATACGAAGCCTCTTCCACACTCACTTTTTGGCCTTTCTCTTTCAATCCCAAAATTCCATCAATCTCTTTGGCATTTAATCGAGCAGATAGTGTGAACACAGCCCGGTTCCACAAAACCGAAGTGGAAGCCTTATCAGACACAGCATTCTTCGAGCTCGAGCAGGCGCTAGTATCCGACTGAAGTATCCGGCGAAGCGCGGTGTTGAGGCCGTGCCATTTGCGGAGGGTTGTGAAGATTTGGTGGGAACTAATGGTGCCGAGTTTGACACCCTTTTGAGCAATTGATTCGAGACATTGTTCGAGTTGGGCACGAAGATTGGGTAAAGTGGGTGATGGACAGTTGGTCCAAGACGCCCACGGGAATGATTCTCCGTGGTGTGGGTGGTGGCCTTCGATGGATTGGGCAAAGTCGACATAGCCGGTGATGTGAGGACCCGTGTTCCAGTTTTCGAGGAGACCTGAGGGAGAAGAGAACAGTTAGATATAGATATAGATAATAGAGAGAAAGTGAGATGAGGGAAATTTACGTTCAAGGATGAGAGTGGTTTTGCCGACGCCGCGGGGGCCGTGGAGGATGAGAGGTTGATGGACTCTGTGGTGCTGGGCGTGGTTGTTCAGTATTGTTTCGAGAAGTGGTCTGGGAATTATCCTCCACGCCTTGCTGACCATTTCCGCTTCTTCTTCTTTGAGTTCTTCAAACCACCCAGCCGAGCCTTGCAAAACAAGCTCACTTGGAGACTAGCACCGATTAAAGAGAGAAGCGTACAATTTTGAACTTCCAAATATATATAGGGTTAAGTGCATTAAACCCCCCCTCAACTGTCTTCTCTTTCCTAATAAGCCGCCCTGAACTATTTCAATGGTTGCAAAACGTTAGTGGGCCGTTTGAAATCTAACGTCCAAAGAAGGCACATGACTCACGTGACTGGTTAAAATCTATAAGGACAAAAACAACCTTATCAAATACACCCATATATACCCAGAGGAATAATATATACAAATATATATATATATTACATACCCTTTCTCTTCAAACAACCTTCAACATCTGTCCATGGCCGCCACCTCCACCGTCCGCCCATGGCCACCACCGACACCGCCACTGTTCTCTCCCCCACAGAATATTCTTCCCTCACAACCACCTCCACTGTCCACGGCCGCCTCCACAACTGCTCTCTCTCCAATCCACCTCCCTTTCTTTTTTTTTTCCCTCTCTTTGGCCTCCAACTCCGGCAACAACAAGAACTTCAATACCGGTGAGAAGTGGGTCTGTTCTGCAGCGGTAGTGACAGAGGTGTTCGGCGACGGCGAGCTTACCGGAGAACACAATGACTGTTCGCGATGGCGGCGCTGAACCACGGGCAGACGGCAGTGAGTTGAACTGAAACGGCGACGGCAAGCAAAGATGAACCCACGGGACGGCGACGATTGTTCTTAACGATGGTCGCGGATCAGAACGGTGGCGGTAACGACGGTAGGAGTCGTGAAGCTTCAATGAATTACGGCAATGGTGGCAATGAACTTGGAAGATGCCGGTGAGCTTACCGATGAGCAATGGAACTGAACTGGATATGGAGATTTGAGATCGAGTCACCTGAATATGGAGATTTGAAAGCAAACGAGAGGATTTGCTGAAAATCAATGGCGAACGAGAGGATTTGCTGACACTGAAAATTAGGGCTTCGAATTTGGGGGTTCGATGAATATATATATATATCCAAACTCAAGACCAAATCCTCGCCTGCAATTTATTGGGTTCGTTCTCAGCACATGATGTTCTCTATGGAAAGAGACCGTCGATGGAGAGAGACCCAGCACCGAATCCGATCATCAACCCCAGTATACAACCTGTTTAAATTGGAACCCATTTTGATGTTATAACTTCACAATTTCCTCTCATGTCCTTCAATTTCTTGTTGCCCCCAATAAATGTTACTGACGAGATGGACACAGAGAGGAGGGAGGTGGTGACTGCCGATAGAGAAGAAATACAATTATTATTTTATATATACTAGATAGCCCCACGTGATGCCTGTGATTATAACGTAGTTATATTTTCAAATAGTAAAATAGTTTGAGAAAAAAAAAATGGAAACAAAATGGAGAAAGAAAAATCTAAAATAAAATTAAAATAACTTGACGGTAACTTGCAAATATAAGTACTTAATTAATATTATTTATTTATTTAAAATTTTACAGCAAAACATGTTCAAAACTTTAAATTATCATTCATCCAATTTCTTTCACAAAAATTTTAATGGTTTGGAAAACAAATTCAGACTATATGTTAACAACTTTATTGGTTTATATAAGACTTTGCATAAAAAGATTTTAAAAATGATGAAAAGTGACAAAAGGATTAACGTAGTGAAGATGGATGAATGATAATTTAAAGTTTTGAACATGTTTTGCCGTAAAATTTTAAATAAATAAATAATATTAATTAACATATAGTCTGAATTTGTTTTCCAAACCATTAAAGTTTTTGTGAAAGAAACTAATATTAGTGGCTAAGAATATATTAAAGAGATGATATAGAATAAGAATTACGTTTCGCTAAAGGTATTTGATGTTAAAAGTGTCTTTACGCTCTGTATAACATTTATCTTTTCATGATGAAACATTCCATGTTTCACTTTCAGCGTACTTTTCTCTTTATCCTATAACTTCTTCCAACACTTTAAATAGGCACGTTACTTTTTCATATTAATAGATTTCAAAACATGGAATTAATACACAGCAATAGGTTGAAATTCAGAGACAACTAAATGAAATCTAGTTTGTATAATCAATGTTACATGTTTATAAATCTAGATTTCATTCGTATGTAAAAAGGTAATGATTTTTGTGAAATGAAAGAATATGAAAGGCTTAAAAAAATAGATGAAATAGATTGTATAGTTTGTATAATCAATGTTACAATTTATTTATAAATGAAATCTATAACTTTCAACCATCATCTCGTTTAATAATACACTAATTTCAGTAAAATTGAATAACATTATGTATAAGAATGTTACGATCTTTTTATTCCAATGTGGTTGAATAAACATAACTTTTAGTTTTAAATTTAGATGGCGTTTATTAATTTATTAATTAATATTTATAATTTATTATTTAAAGAGAGTGACTTTTAGTCAGTAAAGCTTCTTAACACTTAGGAAAGAATTAAGAAAATAACTTTTGCACTGCTTGATGCATGATAGAGTTTTAAATTTAATCAATCATGTTTTGCCTTAACAGTAATAGAATTCAGAATGAAAAAGAGTATTAGTTTATGATACTTTCTTGGAAAAAAAATGTGACTTTCAGTAATACAAATGATTAAAGAACTAAAATACGATTTTTATTTTTTTTTATTTTTTTTTATTTTTTATTTTTTTTGTAAAGAATAGGATGTATTGGGATGAAATAATTTTTTTTTTTTTTTTTTTTTCCCTGAAGGTATGAAAAAAAATAATAATAATAATTCGTTAATGGAAGATGATATCCATGATTTTTTTTTTTTTTTATGATGATACACACACACACACATATGTATATGTAATACACATATTACGAATAAAACAATATTAAACTGGTTGAACTAAATGCCATTTTATTCTAACTGTAACTATAATGAGTTTGTTAATTTCTCATCTCTTAAAAGAATTAAACAAGAAAGGAATACAGAATTATGTAGAAATTAAAGGAACCCGTACAGAACAATAAACACATTATATACCCAGAGAATGAAAAAAATTCAATTAAACATGATGATAATGTAGTTGGACCAAAACACTTAGTCATAGCAGAATATAAATAGTACAAATAAAGCATTACAAAATAATAAAAGCATATTAACATAAAAGAGAGTAAGAAACTTCTGACCTGTTGGAGAGTCATGACTATGAAAGGCTCCAAGATTGTCATGTTCACTAAAGAACATTTATCATGTCTTCCATTATCATGTTGCCCATATATATATATAAAATGAGATGGTATATTGGTTGCAAAAAATAAACAAAGAGGAAGATGTAAAACTTATATTTTACTCATTGAATTACTATGCTATTTATGGAATATTACACACCTATTCATGAAAACATATATCTGTTGAACTATAAGAAGTTTTTGTCTTAACATTCTTCAAAACCAATTTGATGCACACTAATCAAAGATGTGCCTCCAACAAAAGGGTTTTCAAAGGTACGTGACCATGAATAAAACATTTAATAATTTTTTGCACAATAATTTTTACATAAAAAGATGGAAAGAGAGAGAGCAAGATAGTAATTTAGTCTTTTTTATATGATTGAATCGACATATACTTTCAAATAGTTTTGAGGAAGCAAAGCACGTATCTTTTTTTATGTATAAAAAAAGTAAATGCAAAATAATTTAAATTGAAAATTGATATGTTTTAACCAGTAAATAGCTCAAAGATTTGTAATATAAGAAGTGTTTTAATTTGAAAGAAATTCTTTATAAAAGAAGACACTCATATTAAGCAAAGTACATAAAAACAGAAGACGTGTCTAAAGTTTTGTTTTGTTTTGTTTTATTTTTTCTTTTTTTTCTTTTTCTTTCTTTTGCAAACAGGTGCTAAGTAGTTAAGAAGACTATTTTTCTAAATTTTTATTTTTCTTATTAGAAAAAAGTGTATTGACAAGGAATATAAAAAACTGTTGAATTCCTAAGTGGTGCAACCTTTAAAAATCAAAAGGTTTATAATGAGATGGTATATTGGTTGCAAAAAATAAACAAAGAGGAAGATGTAAAACTTATATTTTACCCATTGAATTACTATGCTATTTATAGAATATTACACACGGCCTATTCATGAAAGGATATATCTGTTGAATTATAAGAAGTTTTTGCCTTAACATTCTTCAAAACCAATTTGATGCACACTAATCAAAGATGTGCCTCCAACAAAAGGGTTTTCAAAGGTACGTGACCGTGAATAAAACATTTAATAATTTTTTGCACAAGAATTTTTACATAAAAAGATGGAAAGAGAGAGAGAGCAAGATAGTAATTTAGTCTACCTAAAGCACGTAATCTTTTTTTATGTATAAAAAAAATAAATACAAAATAATTTAAATTGAAAGTTGATATGTTTTAACCAGTAAGTAACTCATTATGAAAAAAAAGATTTGTAATATAAGAAGTGTTTTAATTTGAAAAAAATTCTTTATAAAAGAAGACACTTATACTAAGCAAAGTACATAAAACATAAGACGTGTCTAGAGTTTTGTTTTGTTTTATTTTTTCTCTTTTTCTTTTTCTTTCTTTTGCAAACAGGTGCAAAGTAGTTAAGAAGACTATTTTTCTAAATTTTTATTTTTCTTATTAGAAAAAAGTGTATTGACAAGGAATATAAAAAACTGGTGAATTCCTAAGCGGTGTAACCTTTAAAAATCAAAAGGTGTATAATGAGATGGTATATTGGTTGCAAAAAATAAACAAAGAGGAAGATGTAAAACTTATATTTTACTCATTGAATTACTATGCTATTTATAGAATATTACACACCTATTAATAAAAGGATATATCTATTGAACTATAAGAAGTTTTTGCCATAAGATTCTTCAAAACCAATTTGATGCACACTAATCAAAGATGTGTCTCCAACAAAAGGGTTTTCAAAGGTACGTGACTGTGAATAAAACATTTAATAATTTTTTGCACAAGAATTTTTACATAAAAAGATGGAAAGAGAGAGAGAGCAAGATAGTAATTTAGTCTATCTTTTTTATATGATTGAATCGACATATACTTTCAAATAGTTTTGAGGAAGCAAAGCACGTATCTTTTTTTATGTATAAAAAAAATAAATACAAAATAATTTAAATTGAAAGTTGATATGTTTTAACCGGTAAGTAACTCTTTATGAAACAAAAGATTTGTAATATAAGAAGTGTTTTAATTTGAAAGAAATTTTTTATAAAAGAAGACGCTTGTACTAAGCAAAGTACATATATAAAACAGAAGACGTGTCTAGAGTTTTGTTTTGTTTTATTTTTTCTTTTTCTTTCTTTCGCAAACAGGTGCTAAGTAATTAAGAAGACTATTTTTCTAAATTTTTATTTTTCTTATTTGGAAAAAGTGTATTGACAAGGAATATAAAAAATCGTTAATTCCTAAGCGGTGCAACCTTTAAAAATCAAAAGGTGTATAACAACATAAATTGAAAACCTGAGTAATATTGCGTTGAAATCCTAAAAAGGGCAACAATTAGAAATCAAAAGGTATATAACAATGTAAAACCTGAAAAGGCACGTAATAATAAAAATTAAGTGTTTTAAAATGTAAATAAATAGTATAAATTAAATACACTTTTATAGGGTATATATATATAATTCTCCACTAATTGAGTTGTCATTCTCTTATTGGTGGAGAATTGTTTTTGTCCACCTCAATAAAATAATTCTGAGTTGGCCAATTTTTATTGGACATGGAGATTACCATTGTTACATCAGCCTATCCAAAAAAATAATAATAAAAAAATAAAAAATAATATATATATATATATATGTATGTATACATATATATATATATTCAACACGAGGGCTAAATGGTAATTTTAATTTTCTGTTAACGGCTGCTTAACGGTTCTTAACTAAGTGCAAGAAAATGATAGATTAGGGGAGTTTACTTACTTCAGGAGGGTTTCTTGCAATCGGGTTATAGTTGAGGGGGTTTAATGCACTTAACCCAAATATATATACAAAATTACACACAGACACACTTCAATTCTGTTATTAGTATTTTGCTAATTTAAAAGGAAATGGTACAGATTCTTAACTCCGTATTAGGGAGACAATTGATGTGTTTGTGTTTGAATGTAGAAGCAATATTGGGAGTGATGCGTTTACTTAGAACTTTTCAAAAAATAAAAAATTAGGGATGCTGTTGTAATACGTTTGATTTGGTAACAGGTTGTCATTTGAATCCTATCAAAAAAAAATTTCTTTCTAAGAAGATCAAAATAAAAAAAACACCAAATTAATGTTAATAGAGTCTCTACTAACTATTGATATAACAATTTTATAATATGTTTGGTTCAAAACACATTATTAACAAAAATATCTATTACAAAATAAATACTAATTCAACTGCACATTTCTTTTAATTTCATGATTTTCATCCCTATGTATTTGACATTTTTTTTTTGTTTTTTTGGGTTACTAGACGTCGTTTTTATTTTGAAAGATATTTTTCATATTACAGTGTCTAACTACTCCATTGAATTGGTTCTATTTAAAAGTCATTTGTAAATTTATTTAACTTTACAATTGGGTTGTAGTACTAATCAAAGGACTAATGCCATGATTTTTTCATGTTCGGTTGAAAAAGTGTCACGTCGTCTGATAATTCACTGTTAGGTTTTTGACCCAAAACCAAAAACCTCCCATGATTAGATCAAACAATTACTTTGAACTAAAACTGATTTCCAAAAAAAAATAAAAGTAGAAATTACATGTACATACATACAAATCAGAATTGCACATGATCTATATAACCAAAATGATATTGTGATCAACTAAATTTAACAGTAACATTATAGTAATTTACAAGATCAATCGTATTATGAATAAGCCATGTACATGCTTTCTGCTGTGCCTTGGGCCCAGCTGGTTCTTCTATTCCCTAGAGTCGCTTCACCTTCTGGAGTTAGCTTGATTTTTCCCGCCTTATCTCTTCTCTGTCGCCTTTGTGGCAATTTTTACAAATGTAAGAAACAAAAACACCAAAAAAAAATTACCCAACAAAACGAGTTGACAATGATTAAACACCTCACTCACAAAATTTTATCACATGCTAATAATTTACAGAAATCAAACACGTTCGTGTGCGATCATAAATCAAGCCATATGCTTTGCTATGATCTTATTCTGGTGCTGCAACCACAATTGTTGTTCATGCAACAAATTCTGCTGATTCACAGACCCATTCATCATTTGTTCACCGGCCATTGTAGTCGGCGAGCACGTCCCGAAAGGGTCATTCTCATTCTGCATTGCCATGATTGTGCCGTTTGGATTTTGAGCACAAAATGTTGGGCTTGCTTGAAACGTGGGTGCCCATGAAAAGGGGTCACTCGCCGGAAAACTGTCCGCTTGGACATCGGCAGTGGCTGTAGATACCGGAGCAGCCACGGTTGATGTGACCGTTTTTAATTCAGTTGTGTCCTGTAGAAACGGATTGTAATGGTGAGAAGGAAAATTAGGCAATGGAGAAGTTTGCTGGTACAAACTGTCCAAACCCAAGCCGGTGGCTACATTTGGCAATGGTTGTGTCGATTGGGTTGCGGTCTCGGCCAGCACGAGCTCCCAGCCACCGTCTCTGGGCGACTCCAATGTCTTCTTTTCGGAACCATTGGCTACACTAGGCAAGGGTTGTGCCGGCGATGAAGTTGTGGCCCCAGCCAACACAAGCTCCCACCCGCTACTGGCTGAAACAGCTGACTCAAACGGCTCTTGAACTTTGTCCTGTTCATTTGCATTTGATTGAGGCAATTCGTCGAAGGATACAAGATCAACCATCGAAGCCGTTGTGGGCAATGACTTGCTTGAAGCTGCATCATTTTGACTACACGCATCGTCTTGCTGTGATGGTTTCTCTAACTGATTCGAAAAAGAATAAGCCTCTAAATCAATCGAAATCGACGATCTTCTCTTCCCTGTCAATTCAGTAGCACTTATTAAGTCCTCCAAAGACTTACATTGTGACCCAAACTCAGAACTCATTTCCTCAGAAAGGGGTTCCGAGAACTCCGACAGACCGTAGCTCTCGGCCCCACCGGACATAGCAGGACTGGGATTCGACGGCGCAGGAAGGAGCAACGGCCTATTCGGAGATTTCCCGGTGGCCGGGAAAGAAGATTGGTCCTTGAGAAATTCCTGCAGTGTCTCAACTAGCTCATTTGAAATTGTTTGAACACTTGGGTACTCAGAGGTCCTTCCAACTCCAATGGTCTTGCACAACGTATAGAACACACTGAGCTCTTCGAATTGTTTCGAGGCCTTAACACAAGTCTGAAACGCATGAACACACGACTGGTACTGCAAATGAAAGAAACTGTCAAGAAGCAGGGCAAGCCCATCAGAAATGTCCTTGTACAGATCGAAAGTCTCTTGCACCACCGCGTAGAGCGACACCTGAACCAACCGGTTGTTCCTGGAGGCACCGGTGGGTTGTGTGGCGATGGCCCGGTCGAGCAATCGCTGCCAATAGGAGATCCGGTCAAGCAACATAGCCGGTTTCATGTCGCGAACCGGCTCATTGCCTCTGCGAGTACTCCTATGGTTAACGAGCTCCCTGTCCCGGTTGTTGTACCGGCGCTGGAGCTTCCCGGTGAGGAAGCAGTCGAGACGCTCGTCGAGATAGAGGGCGAACGTTCGTATAAAGGCGGTGAAATCCCACGGGCTGGAGTTGCTGTCGTTTCGAAAGCTGGAAAGGTTGAGGATCTTGGCACCTCGTTTCATGGCGTGGAGGACTTCTCTAGGGAAGTAAGGGTCCCCGTCTTGGAAAATGCGGAGGACGAGCATTAGGGATTTGAGCGCCACGATCCAATTCCGCGTCCGGCCTATGCGTTTGCCGATGGCTCGCGCACAGGACGCGGCGTAGGTTTTGTCGGAAGACACGAGCTGGAGGATCTCGGACACGTAGCGCTCGTCGATGGGGATGTCGTCGTGGGTGGTGGCTTTGAGCACACAAACCTCGAGGTTGGAGGAGTTGTTGTTTGAAACCTTGGCAAGGCTGATGCTGGTTTGGTCTTTCACAGCACCAATTGCTTTTTGTAGCTTGCTTGGCATGGTTGGTTGGTTATATATACAATCTTTGTGTCTATGAAAGCCTTTGATAATTTGAATTTCTGGGCTTAATTTGTCCCCCTCTCTCTACGTGTATATTTACATATATGTGTTTGGTTTATATGTGAATGAAATGATACATATATGTATTGCATGCACCTATTGGAAGAGGTAGAAGCAACTGCTCTGGTTTGGCTTGTTCACCTCCGCGTATGTTTGGATGAGAGGAAACTCAGAGGTGAACTTTCTTGGATATTGATGAGAGAGAGATAAGAAGTGAATTTTTTTTTAGATGTTTGATGTTAAGAGTTGGTGAGAGAGAGAGATCGAGGGTGTTTAGGGGTTGGATTTGTTTCGTGCTGTTGTAGAGAGAGAAAGAGAGAGGGAGAGAGATGCGTTGGTTTTGTGCATGGGATGTGGATTTGTTTGAGGCTTGGTGGTGACGAATGAATAGTTGACCTTATGATTCGCACTCTCTTTGTTGACCAAGTCGTTAAAATTTGTTTTTGGATGTCACGACTGAGGAGAGGAACTGAAACGCCCACTCATTCCCACTCGTCTCTGTAGCGCGTGCTGTCACGTATGATGAGAAATACAAGTTTCACCAAAAGGCCGAATTTTTATTTGGTCCGGGATTATTGCCTAGGTCAATTACCAATAAATTCAAAAAACTTTACACATTTTGGACACAAATGTTTATATATCCACTAATAATTGACCCCAGATTATGTAATAACCTTTTTCAAATCAAATAGGCACGCCTATACGTATGTCTTGTGAAGGATGAAATTGAATTTTATCTTGTTATGCATTAATCATCCATAACGATCGCTTTTGCATAAAATGCAGTTCTCATGAATATCATGAATTTCATATCATGTATTTTAATCTTTATTATCACCTTATAAAGATTGTGTTATGCAAAAGAAAGGAACTAGGTCCGTCAATGAGACATTGGTATGGAACCATGTGATTATTCAAGTTTTTGTAAATAAATATATTTGAATGTTACAACTAGAAGCTTACTGTTTATTTTTTTAATCCGTTTTTCCCTCCTTAATTGTATTCTGACATGTCCCCGACGTTGCCGGAGATTCGAGAGGTAAGTTTTTGAGATTTCACTTTTGAATCGCCCTTGTGACTTGAATGATAGATTTGTTGTTGGACCGATACAAGTGCTCTAAGAAAAAAAAAATTGTATTCGATCATGTAACCTACCAAGACATACAAAAAAAAAAATTTGTAACCTAGAAGGATGGGAAAATTTTCTGTAATTCTAAGATTTGGATAAATTTATGTAACAATTTCCAACCTAAAAAACTTACATTATAGTAATTTTAAATGCAAACTTAAAATCATAGGAGAGGATGGATTTTTGTCCAAAGTGGAGTGTACATGTTTTAATGCATCTCTAGTACTGGAACAATTTTTTTTTTTTTTTTTTTTTTTTTTTGAAGACTCATCACATTACCGGACGCGAATGGGCTCCTAGATCTGTCAAAAAGCCAGCCCGTTCGATTAATGGGCCCCTTGGGTTGTTGCAGCTTTAGATGCGGATCTCCTTTTTATTTTTTTTAGTTTTCTCTTGTATTGTCAAATAATAATAATAATAAATAAATAAATGTCTAGTGTTGGATTTCAATAACTAGAAACCCTTTTAGTTTAGAAACTACGTATCTATTAACCATGTCACACGCAATACAAAAATAATAATAATATCTGACATTAGATTTTTAATACTCTCAAGTCTCAAATATTCCAATAACTTTTTGAATTGCATTTGTATGTACAGTTGAAGTTTATTAAAAATATATATTTACCTCAACTGTATTTCAAAACGTCAACACTCAAATCTATATGAAAAAACTCTTTTTATACAGTATATTACAACAATATTAAATGAGCACTTAGTATCATGGGTCCCATGATACTGATTTTACTTTTTGCTAATTAATTGTCATTAAACATACTCAAAAATTGTACCAAAACTATTGCTTAGGCTGAACCCACATTTTAAGAAAAAGAAACTTGCTGAATTGTTTTTTTTTTTAAAAAAAAAAAAAAAAAATGAAAAAGAAAAAATTTGATACTCAAACATTGTTTGGACTCGAAAAAAGTCGAATCTTGAACGTGATACTTCGGCACATCCATTTAAGCCAACTCTTTAGAGTTGATTTCATGAAATTTTCATTTATATTTGGACTAATTTGATGGGTGGATCCGCCTCCTTAGCCTGTTCAGCTATTCACGTTGTCGTCCAAGCTGGCATTACTATGACCACGCGTTGCTGTGTAATTTATAGCTATCTTGTAGAGGTGTCACATCTTTATTGGTGGAAATTTTTTCTTTGCATGTGTCAAAACATTATGCTGCAAATAAGTATAACGAAGAACACCAAAATCTATGACTTGGTGGTACGTTCTTTCCAATAGTTTACTGTAGTGATGGAGTCATAAATTATGTTCAAGGGTCACAATGTAATAAAAAAGTTGGGGGAGGACAATTTTAAAAATTTAAGGAATTATACATAAAAAAATAAAAAATTTAAAAAATTGAAGGAGGGCAATTTTAAAATTTAAAAATATATACATATACATACAAAAATAAATTTTTTAAAAAGTTGAAGAGGGCGGACATGCCCGGGCCTTAATCGGCTCCGTCTTTGTGAACAAAATATACTCTCACCTTTTGGATTGGATCTAAATGGGCCAAGAATGAGATCGTGGAACATCTAGTGCAATGTAGCTGGAAGCGATTGTATCCACATTTTCATTTAATAACATAATTGTCTATTAAGATAAATATATATATATATGATAATTGCAATAAACTATATGGAGATTAAATTATTTCAGGTATTGCAAATTGGGTTGAAGAAGTACATTTGTCAGTTTGCGTTTAGAAACAAACCGAGATGACTGAAATTCTTCACTTTGTGAAAGGGTGTATTTGTTCGTCCATGTGAAATTAAATTAATAAATATATATATATATATACTCTTAGTCTAAATTGGCCTATTCATCACGTATCAAACCTAGCTAGCTTAGCTATATATCGCCCTGTAATCATTTACTGCTATATATATATATATAGACACCTACATATAAATATCCACACAGAGGGGGGGAGGGGGAGAAATGGAAATGGGAGAGCATGTGAATACGAAATAGTAGAAGTTAAAGAGGGAGACAAGGGGAATCTCTGCTGCAACTGTGTGTCTGTGTGAGAGAGAGAGAGTACTCTGTGAAATGTGACTTCTGACGCATCGATCGAGTGGTGCATGGTGCTCCATCCAATTTAAACTAGAGAATTGTAAAGCAGTCAATGACTATAAAATATTGAACACTAACACGGGAATGTCTGTTAATTTTTATTTTTTTTGGTAAGTATTTTTTTTTTTTTGTTTTGTTACTTTTGTTTTGGTAAAGCTTAATGGGGAGGCAAGTTCTAAGAAAAATAGAATACTACTTGTCAACTACAAGGTTTAAATATCAAAACTCCATAAACTCCTCTCTGTGGGTGTGACATTGGATAGAGTTTTTCTTAAGAGAAATTTGTGAATGTTTAATGTAATTTGACCTTTTAAATACATAGTTAATCTTTTTTTTATTTGACCTTTTAAATACATAGTTAATCTTTTTTTTTTTTTAACTGTGTGGGCTCTGTGGCACATGGGATCTACCCTGTAAGGAAAAATAAAATTGGAAGGATATACTTTTGCAGTAATCACAAAGATACCATTGTCGTCTACAAGTGAGACATAAAGTAACCATCAATACTATAGAATGAACGAATGAGAGTACCTTCTCTAAAGTCATAACTTTTCGAAATTGCTACAATCCATCAATTACATCATTCCACATAAAAATTAATGTGGTTGTTGATGGAACAAAATTCTGAAAATGCAGCTTACCAGAATCGGGAAAAAAAATAATAATAGAATAAAATAAAATTTGAAAGTGCAACTTCAGGAGTTGTTCGAGTGGTAAATTATTTGGGTCTAGTGCGTTACGAAATATTAACTTCAAAATTCGTCATTTAAATATAAATAATTTTTTAGAGTCACGATCACAAGTAAAAGTCTAAACTCTACCTAACCAATAGGTAATCTAAAGTTACATCTTTTCCAAATTGCTACCATCTATCAATTACATCATGCCACCTAAAAATTAATGTGGTTTTTGATGGAACAAAATCTTGAATATGCAGCTTACCAAAATTGAAAAAAAATAAATAAATAAAATTCTGAAAGTGCAATTTCAATAATTGTCGGAGTGTAAGTTATTTAGACATGATACCTCATAAAATATCATGTTCAAAATTTGTCATGTAAATAATTCCTTAGAATCAGACCCACCAATAAAAATCTTCTACTGACCCAAGAAAAAAGGGCACTTTGTAGTGAAAATGAACCCCAGTTTGATAATTGGATAATCTTATCTGATTGTTGGAGCAAAAAGATTGTACTCAATCAGGAATTGAGGATCCAATGTAGCTCCATTACTACTTACCTTTTGTTACTCTTTCAGAAAATTCAACCATAGGACCCTACCATGACCTTTCACCTCTCAACTTTAAGGGCAATAAACTCTTGTTTTTCTTCTTTAAGCTTTATGCATAATGAAAGACTACTATTATTATTGAAAGACACACCTTTCTTTTATCCGTAATGAACAAGAGTTGAACCATCAATCTTTTATTTAGAATCAAAAATCCTAATTGTTCCTGGAAATTCTTGTTGCGGTACACCATATCCATCAACAACACGATTATACAGATCTTGCCCTATAAATGAACTATCACAGGTGATGGTGAAACCTACCAGATTTGGAATCACACTATTAAGCCTTTGTAGGAATCAAATCTATGTTGTGTTAAACATGGTAAGTAGGTAGGATATCAATTTAATTGAACCCTTATAACCTTTACCCGTAATTATTTCAATAAATAATACTTAGATCCTCACTAAAATAATACTTTATTAAATATTTGTGGATGTCCCATGTCCCAAGATCTCCCCGATTCCAAGATACGGTAAAGGAGGGCAATTTTGAAAACACATTTCGGATAGTGGTGTCCCCTCCAAATGTTATCCCCAGTGACCCTCTCCAAAACATCCCAGCGTCCTCTCCAAAATTGCCCGTTAACATCCCCAACCATAGCTTCACCCAGTAAGTATGTAGGATGTCAATTTAATTGAACTCTTATGTCCCTTTTATAACTTTTACCCGTAATTATTTCAATAAACAATACTTAAATTTTCAGTAAAACAAATACTTTATTTGCGGATGTCCCATGTCCCAAGATACAGTGAAGGAGGGCAATTTTGGAAACACATTTGAGATAGTGGTGCCCTCTCCAAATGTTATCCCCAGTTCTCCCTCTCCAAAACATCCCTGTGCCCTCTCCAAAATTGCCCGTTGACATCGCCAACCATAGCTACCCCTTGTTCCCCATTAAGGATGTCCCAAGCTCGCCCGATTCCAAGATACAGTGAAGGAGGGCAATTTTGGAAACACATTTGAGATAGTGGTGCCCTCTCCAAATGTTATCCCCAGTGCCCCCTCTCCAAAACATCCCAGCGCCCTCTCCAAAATTGCCGTTGACATCGCCAACCATAGCTACCCTTGTTCCCCATTAAGGATGTTGAACAATGCAAAAGAAACAGCGGCACATGGAAATAAATATTTTTTTACCCCGGTTAATCACCTCACATTGAAATAAATATATTAGAGTTAAAAAGAAACATAATTACATTATGCAATTTTATATAAAGTTATATAAACAAAGATAGTCCATAGTAATCTCTAACCACCAAACTCCAACCAACCTACTACTCCATATAAATACATCAAAAATGAAAATGGAGATCATCCAAAAGAGCTACAAATGAATGAAGAGCATTTCCAACCACTTCTTCTTCTTCTTCCAACCCTTTCTTCGTTCTCTTGTTTAGTTAGTGGGCAATTCGCACTTCCCAAACTCTGCAAAGACAGCAACAAGTTTCTTTTAGGTACAAAGAAAACAAAATATAACATTAAAAAACACACTAAAAGGAAAAAGTGGGTGGTTGTTTCCAAGAATGTTTTTTTTAATCATCCAATGACAAAATAATTGCTTGATTCCTCTTTTCCCGCCACAATATTTGACCTTAAAATTAAATGAAACAAGAATATCCTTGAAATTATCAAAAAAAAAAAAAAAAAAAAAAATTGGTTTTTAATCATCCAATGACAAAATAATTGCTTGATTCCTCTTTTCCAGCCACAACATTTGACCCTAAAATTAAATGACACACGAATATCCTTGGAATTATCAAAAAAAAAAATTAGTGACATCTTAGGCTCGGTTTGTTTGAGCAAAAAAATATCTTAGCCTCTACCTCCTCAATCTCAACCTAAATTTTGTTAACCATCGAAAAGGAAAAATAAAAAAATATATATTTTATCTGAAAAAATAAAAAATAAATTAAGAAAAATATTTAAGGTCAAAACAAACAATCCCTAATTCTAAGTAAAATTCACACTCTTGTCATGTGAGATAGATAAATCTAAAGGTTTTCTAAAATCGTACTACAACCTGGCAAACAAACAAACATCTAAATAAAACTAGTGATTATAAAACTACTGTTGTCAGTGTGCTTGCCAAGCACAGGTCCACAGAAATCCACGCCATGTCAGAAAAAGGAATGCATCTCGTGATGTCCTCTGACCTGGCGTGCACCAACTTTCCAACCTCTGTGGACCTGCGGTGTTATTCACACTGCAACCATTGGATTCCTGCGCATTTTAGCAATTTACCCAAGTACTACGTAAATATCTAACATGCCAAAAGTTTTACATCGTGTATTTTTTAACGTGCGCCAAATAAAATGAAAGAGAAAATTAGAGGGAGAAGATGGAATACGCACTGGGTAGCTCTGAAACAACATACGCCGCACCACCAAAGAAGCACGTGCCCATCTTGCGTCCATTCCTCTGGTAATAACTGTTGAAAGCGTGCGAAGCGTGGGCCTCGAGCGTGTTGGGTTCGTAACACGTGGACCCTGGTTGAATCGGATGGCAATTAGCTCCTCCTTCCCCACACGCATAGTCTAGACCCGCCTGCAGCTTATCCTTCCCGGCCTTTGCATCCGCCACGCACCAACTCTGCCCCGAAACAGTCGGCGACACCTGCCCCCCATCACCGCCTGTCACCGGCGTCGAATTCTTCCGACTGCCGGTAGTCGACGCCGGTGCCCTGGTCCCCCGGTAATTCTTCAGCCCGGCCAACGTCAACGGTATGTCATAAACCTTGTCTTCATTTGGGTAAAACAGACCATAGTTATTCTCAGATGTGGGTCCAGTTTTTTGGTTCTCGTTGAAGAGAGCGAAGAGATAAACGGTCAGATCTGTTTTGGGTTTCAAGGGGGTCCCACCGCCGGTGAGTATTCTTTTCACCAGGCCCCCGTTATACGCAGCGGCGTTCTCCATGCCCGCGCCTATCTCATTCTCGTCACCCTTCGACGGCCAACCAGTCTCCGTCACCACCATTCTGATATCATCGTACTTCAGAGCCGACATTGCCGCAAAAACGGCGTCGATTTGGGCGTCAAAGAGGTTAAAGTAACGCTTGCCACTACCGGCGTCTACCACACCTTGGTTTTCACGAAACAGAGCGTAGTCCAGAGAGATGACTTGGGAGTTGGCTTCGTAGGCGAAAAACGGGTAGACATTGACCATGATGAACGACCCAGTTTGACGGAAAAAGTCCAGCATGGGTTTGATCACGGGTTCGACGAGTTCGGGTTTGAAAGATCCGGCTGAGGCAGGGTAGGAGTTTCCAAGAGCGCTGAGAGCAATGGGTGAGGAGACTTTGATGGCGGATTGGAGGTCGTGCTTCACGAGTGCTTGATAGATGCTTTTCATGGCGGGTACGAGGAACCCGGTCACGTTATCCGGGTCGACGAAGACTTCGTTCCCGACGGCTATGGCTTCGATTTGGGTCTTCGGGTGGTAGGCGGCCACGTTTTGTTTGACCCATTTTTCGGCGAAGTCCTTTTGTTTGGCGGCGTCGGAGAGTTGTTCGTTGGGTAAGCAGACGGTGATTTTGATACCGGACCCAGCTAGGGCTTTAAGTACCGCCGGGTCGGTGTCGTATATTTTGACCCGGTCTACACCGTTGGACTTCAGCAGCTGAACCACCTTCACTGCTGAAGGTAGGTTGTTCGCTACTCGACCGTAGTTGATTCCGATCAAACCCCCATCTGCAAATGTACCACCAAAACATCAAAAACCAACATACATACACATATACATATAAATATAGATATAGATATATATACATTGTTACCTGCGAGTGAGAAAATGGAAAGGACTAGGAAAAAGAAAGATACAGTGTTAACGCGGTGCATCATGCTCTGTTCTGAGTCTGGAAGAAACAGATCAGAGCATGAAAGAGGGAGAGAGTGGGCGTTATATAGCGGTGTCCGGGTTGTTATTTGTTAGGTAATGAGAGGAAGAGAGTGGGTTAAGGTAATATCGGAGGAAGAGAGTGGGTTGAGGTCTTTTATGGAGGTTAGAGAGAGAAAGAGAGAGTGGAGATCGGGGATCGAGGTGGTGGGGATGGGACCCACTTGTCAACAATTGACAAAAATAATAAGCTGGACTCTCTGAAACGAGGACCACCTTTTCACCATGGTGGGGGCTATAGCAGCACTCCATGTGGCCCCACTACCTGCGGGTCCCACAAAATTGACCGTTTTCTCCGTGAAAACACGTTTCTATTATTCTACTCCCAGTTTCATCTATCCAAAATTACTTCAAGCCCTTTGATTGATTCACAGCCGCAAGATTGAGCTATTCGGATCTGATCATTTAATATAAACCGTAAGATGCAGAGGTGCATTGAGAGTGGTGGTAGTGATGTGTATTGTAGTAGAAGTCAACTTGGTAGAACCTAATGATGGAGAGGTTTTAGTGTAATCGAACGGTGCGGATAAAAATAGGCAAGTAGAGTTTCTGAAACGGTCACCTGATTTTTCGAACGTTGGAATGGTGCGATAAAAAAAGCTTAGCTGCCTGATGTGATATATCCCACCTAGTCGTCTGACAAGTACAGTAAATGTTAATTGACAGTAATTTTTGGTAAATATGAACATAAACGCCATTAGATATGGTGTCACGTGCGCGCACGTGTGAGCTTTTTGTCCTCTTTTATTTATGTAGTGTATACAATACGGATCTAGATTTAACAGTCATTTAAGTGAGTATCAAAAAGGTCCACAAGGCCCAAATACTGTCCTGTACGGGGGTATGATGGCCCATTAAGCTGGCGGGCTGGGCTATCTCTCTTAAAAGCCTTAGTCTTTCCCTATATATTTTACTAAAAAATAATTTTGAACCAATTTCGTACTTAATTATATGAAAAATATTCATCGAAAATAATTTCAAGTCATTTTCGTCATACTTATAATACACATTTTATAAAAAATACGCATTGAGTTTTGTGTTTACTTTGAGTTCTTGTTCTTTAATTTTCATTCAATTTGTCTATTTTTATTAAAAATTACTCTCTGTATGACATTATTAATTTATTATGTTCACTGCATAGAGGTGAAAGCTTAGTCCATATAATTAATTATAGTTATATATGCTTGACACGTTGATAACTTATTTTTGGTATAAATTTTTGCGCTATTATGTTGATAACAAAAAAGATGAGTAAAATTACACTAAAATTTAAAATACATGAGTCCAACTCATATAGTCATGTAATTTTTAAAGGTCCCAATTAAAGATTATGGGCTTATTTAGTATCTGAACATTGTTAGGGTTGAACAAATGCCATTAAGTCAAAATCACACTTCAAAATAACCAATTTGTACTATCTCACAACCCAACGAGACTGGACCGACCATCCCTGCAATTAAACATTGACCTGCTATTTTGTAAAATGTTAAAATTTGCAATGTAGTGCAGTCCTCCGGCAACATGAAGTATGAACCAACCCACACCATGGCCCAGTGGACACGGGTCTCATTCGGTGAACCGTAAACTCTCATAAGACCTAAAAATATTTCAGTTTAAATGCTTTAATAATATACGTAGTTTGGGAATAATTATGAATATTCAGAATTTGCAAACTTATAAAGTGATTAACAGGTGAGTCGATTCATTATATAAATAAACAAATAAATCGTAAAACATTTGAAGTACAAACTCTTTATTAATATTTTATTTTATTTTACCTTAATAATAAATTCACACACCCACTATTTGCCTATATGATTAATTGAATTTCAATTATTTCACTTTTGTAGGTGCAAAATTTCGCTCAGCCAATAATGATTAAGAAAAATAAAACAACTCACTCAACAAATAATAAAAATAAACAAGAACCGTATAAAGATAAGCGTAGAATTGCTTGATCCATTTATTGGAGGTCTAAGCCTCTATTTATATACAAAAGATTGTAAAATTATTGTAGGACTCGCGTTACTTGTCCTCCAATTCTTTCTATATAAACATTCTTTACTAATAGAGTTCTTTCCATTGTCTAATTTTCTATGCATAGAACTTGCCTTGTACAGAACTTCCTATCTCAGAATTTTCCTTCTATAGTAAATCCTTCAACTGGTAGGACTTGTGCATTCTTGAATAACTGGGCTGAACATACTTTGATCCGGCTGGGCTTGAATAACGGACCGGATGTTAAATATTAACAAGTTGGGCTGATGACCTCTTGATTCGGCCTTGATGGAGGTTGGAAGACAAATAACAGTGGTCTTGGGCTAAAAATACATTCAATTTGGGCTTGAGCATGACGGGCCTTTGGAAGATAGATTTACATCTGTGATGACGTAGAATATTCTTATTGGAGGGAGTTTTTTTCCCTCCATACTTTGCCCCAAATTTCATTTTTAATTGAGTGACGGCTCCCATTAAAAAGGGAATTGAAACCGGTTTTTTACTTTGCTTCAGAGACGGTTCGAGGACTTTCATTATTACTCCATCGTACAAGATTTTGCAAGAGTTACATTCGCCTTAGCTGCACTCCTGCGTTCTTTATTCCATCGCCTTGTCAGGTTAGTTTTTTTTCGCATCTTTCTCTTCAATCTTTCATTATGATTACTTTATCTACTCCCGAACGTATAGACATTGGGGATTCTGAATCCACACCTTCATCTTCCCCCGTTCGCATTAGGGTTCCCCCTCTTAGGGTTTCTACAGATCGTCTTTCGTTGAATCAATTAGGTACTTCCCCCCTTCCATCCAAGACATCCACCTCAGGCTCTGATAATGCTCTTACTCATGAAGAGAGGAAAGCAATCATCTCTATTCGCCCCATCAAGTTCTCTGTTACTTCGATAATGGAAGAATTTGATATTCCTGAGGGAGTAGAAATTGTAGAATATCCCGAGGGTGCCGATTTTACCTCCGACGAGGGAATTGAAGAGAGTGAGTTGCTTCTTTCGGTCGGGCATCTTAACTCCCTCCGGTTCCCTCTTCACCCCTTCTATCATTTAGTTTTCAACAAGTTAGGTCTTGCCCCCCCTTCAGGTAAATCCTAATTTCTTTCGCATCCTTTCGGCACTGTTGGTGCGCCGAAAATTAGAGGCTCTGGATTTGACCTTTGCCGACCTTCTGCTTACTTATAATATATCTAAGCATGGGACCAAGCCTGGTCGCTTCTTTTTTACCTCTACCCTTCATCAGAGGATATGCACGAACCTTCCTTCATCTGAGAAGAAGTGGAAAGAAAGGATGGTTATAGTTAAAGGAAAATGGTTCGTGCCCCAATCAATTACGCTCCCCATCCCGCGCAAGTTCAGGAAGTTAGGTATAGAATACTTAACCTCCCTTCATACCAAGTGTTCTGGCTGTTTTCCTTGCCAAGTCTTAATGTTTCGCCGTACTTATGAGTTTCTTGGTGTTTTTTCAGCTACATTCCCATCCTTCGCAGTAAGGAACAGACTTTCTTTTCTTGAGGAACGAGTCTGGAGTGACCCCTCGCCTATCGAGGACCTGCTAACTTCTTCAAACCTCAAGGATATTGCCTCCAGTGCTGTTGCTGCAGACCTCATGGATCTATCTCTACCATCCTTTGATAGTTTCCCCATGACTGAGGAGGAGATACGGAGGGCTGAGGCTTTAAAAAAAAAAAACGAAGATGCCCAACCCTTGGTTGTTATTAGGTCTACTGAGGGTGAGGTGGAGGCTGAGGAACCACCAATGAAGAAATCTCGCCTCAACCCCCCATCCTCTGGCAAGGATAAGGTCCCTTCTAAAAACAGAGGGAAAAAGGTTGGAGAGGCCGAACCTGAAGATGAAGTCAGGGCATATGTTCTGGCTGAAACTGGGGCTCCTTGGACTCCTTCCTTCACCAGGGCTGACAAGTCAGTCCTGCATTCAGGGGATTCTGTGATCACAGACCCTTCAGCTGCACTGGCTGTGGCCCGAGGGATGTGGCTCCCAAAGGACGAGGAAGCCATCAGCCAAATGGGGTTGGAACAACTACTCCCCTCTGCCCCGGTCCGGGCCATAGAGGTTCGTATTGCTCCTTCAGAATTATATTACTCTTGCTTACTTATGTTTTCATTTATGCTCATATTTGTTCCTCTGTTATCTTTTTATACAGAGTCTATACCACACCATGGCCCTCTGCACCACTGCTGAAGCCCAATCCCTCTCCATCAAGAAGCTGGAGAAGAATCTTGACAAAGCAGAGAAGAGAGCCACCACTGCCTCTACCAATCTGAAGATAGCTACTGAAGCCAAGGATGTGTATAAGAGACAGTTGGCTGCTTCTGAGGCTAAGGTGGATTCTCTTCATGCAGAAATTCAACGCCTGACCGAGGCTCTTACTACTTGCTTCAAGGCGGGGAAGCAAATGCAGGGGTACTACTCCTGTCTGGCACACCTGGCTAGTGCTAAAGCGTTTCGGTCTGGCTATAATCAGGGCTCAGGCCCTAAGACAATGGATCCGGACGCTTTTGACAAGCAGGTGGGGGTGCACTTTCAATATGATGAAGGGCCACAGGCTTTGGAAGCTGAAATCCGCTTTGCCGAGATGGTGAAGGCGCACCTGAAGGGTACTCCTAGCTCTTCTGCCCCTGCGGCTTCAATTCCTCCTACCCCAAGTCCTACTGTAGTGGATGTTTTTGAATCCACTCCCTTCGATCCGAAGAGGAAGTAAAACCATGTATTTTGTTTTTATTGACAGTATATTTGGGATAATAAATATAATTTTTGTTTTAGGCTTTTAATACCTGATTTGTTTTTGCTGTATGCTTTTGATATTGTTCATACTTTTCTGACTGGTAATGTTTTTATGACAAACAAAACACATTGTCTTTATGCTTCGGATTTATGCTATCCGAGAAAAAGTAAGGATGATGGGAAGAAGGAGATCCTTTTAACAGTTTAATTGACATCTCAGGATGATTCATATGGACAATGATATAACTGTTAAGTGAACTCTTCTTGCCTTTGACTTGCCTGCAGTAGACGTATACATACTATTTCTTTCTCGTGTGTTCCTGATGTGGGGTGGATCAT